ATAATTGGAGTTTGCATGTTCTCCCCGTAATCGCGTGGATTTTTCTCCGGGCACTCAGGTTTTTCCCTCCACATTAGAAACGTGGCAGTGCTATGCATTATCACATGATAAGCTACTTTGTCGAGCTATCATTTGTGGCCAGGTCTCTTCTGCAAAAGAGCAATACAGCTCAGTAGGACTTACCTGCTAAAATAAAAAAATAGTTTAGTTAAATTCGTATGTTCATGGAAGTCAACCTTGTCACAGCAAGGAGGTAAACTTTTAAATGCGCTGCTGCGGCTTGGGTTTGCCGCTGTTATTTAATTCGCAACAACAAAAAACCCGCGCAAAACATTTGTGCTCCGCCAGCTACGCAAATGATGTCATCTATCGAGCGACTTCTCTGTACCAAGGCACCACGTGAAGCCAATTAAATGCGACTGCTGCCAATCAGTAGGCTTGATGCCCCCCCCCCATCGCATACTTGCACAGAGGCTACCGGTTGGTAGATTTAAAGCACAGATGTTACTTTATCACTTGCAACAGTCGTCTGGCACGAGATAAGCATGCAGAAGAGATGCCCAGCTGGAATAGGCCTCCAGTCTTAATTAAGGAGAAAAGGCCAACTGCATGTGATAAGCCCAACTATTTCCTTAATGCCATTTCTTCATTACCAGCAGGGAGTGGGATTATGTATAGTATCTTCCCTCTTTCTACTCGCTTCTAAGTTCACCGAGGGAGCACCGGTGTCTCCCATGCATGCCCTTGTCTCTTGTTGACATCTGATTGCTGGTTGCTTTATTTCTACTTAAATATCTTAGAATGACCGTTGCACGATGTGCTGATTTATGCTCGCGCTCTGCGGTGGAGGTAGTAGTAGGTGCGTTCCAAAAAAGGTGGAGCACAAGGAGAACCCGCACGAGGAGACAGCTGCCTGCCGGCTAGCACACACGGCCCGCACAGTACGCAATGCTGTTGCTGTGTGTGTGTGTCTCTGTATGTATCTCCGTGTTTGTCTCTCTCGTGTCAACTCTGCCTGAAGTGAGTACCTGGTGCGGCGTGTAAAAACATCACCACTGGGGATACAAAGGCGGTCGGGCGTGGTGTTGGCCACCTACCCTCTCGTGTCCCGTGCCGGCCTGCATGGGCGCTCGCTAACCGTGCTTGCCCCAGCTATGTTTAGGCTGTATGGAAGAATCTTTGTGGGGTTTTTTTTGTCCTAGGGTATCTTCGTGCGTATCTTTGTGTGTGAGACCGCTGCCTGCCGAGCAGCGCACGCGGTAGTACACACGCAGTGTTGTCCCACGTCCGACCGCATAGCCGCATGTCGAGTGAATTCAAACTGCATAATATTGCTGATTATGGATAGAAATATGTTAGCCGCATATACGGCGTGAAATCGCTCAAGCCGTACCAGCATAGAGCGAGGGGAGCCTGTATTTGTGAAGGGAGAGTGGATGGGCGCAATGGTTATGGGGCACCGTGCGATGAAGCCAGCGACCAAAGTTTGATTCCAAGCCTACGGTGAATATCAGTGGCGTGTGACATCTCGCCTCGTCCTGGCCACCCCCTTCACCAAGCCGCACCGACCGGCATGGTGAAGTATGGTCAAACGACCCCCGTGACCGACACGGCCTAAGGAAGCTTTCGTTCAGCAGTGAATTGACGAGGGGACTGTACATTTTAATAATTGTTGGTTATTGATATAATTGCTTTGAAAACAGTTGTCCACATTAATGGTAATTTCCATTTCTCAGGCGCATTTCATCCAAAGAGCCTAATGTTGCCATGTATTGAAAGTGTGAAATAAACAGAACCAGGGCAATGGCCAGAACGGAGGGGTAAAAAGGCCAGTTTAAAGAATTGTTGTCAAAGACGTACTTGGAGTTGGCAACTCGCTCCTAGTGCCTGCTGTAGCAGTGCTGGCACGAGAACGGTCTGTGAATGGTTTCGGTGAATTAATGTCGGCTATTACCGTGGACTTGAGGAGGTGGTGGGTGGGATCGGTGTCAAATCGGTTAGCACACTGCACTGTGAAGTTCTATTCCTGACCGAGGCTAACTTCGGTGGCAAGATGAGAGGGCACCTTTCCTACACCAACCTAACCTCCAACCGGTGTGGCGAAGTTTGGTCAAACAACCCATATGAAAGTGGCACGGTGTAGGGGGAAGTCCCTTCGTCCAAATCTCGATTGAAAACTAATTTCTTTCAAACTGATTTTCGTGTTTAGTTTGATGTCCTTCCTCCGCACCTCCAATTAGCACGGTTGGCTACATACGGTGCAAAAGAAGTTCAAAATACATCCAGCATTGAATTAACACTTGGCTGTAAATGAAATGATTATTTAACCGTACATTCATTTCATTACCATCGGTATCTTTTGCGCCCACATAGGCCATGTAGTCTTATAATTCTAGACTTGGGAGTGGCCGGGTTCGTGAGTGAATGAGTGAGTGCTTGTTAGGCTGTCAGATGTGTGTGGCAGGAGTCGTGTGTTGGAGAGGTATGGGGGCAGGGGGGAGCTGGTATGGTCGATGCTACAGAGGAGGAGGAGCAGAGTGAGATGTGATAAGCTGGCTTGTGGCGGCCGCCCGCCCACAATGCTCCCTGGTGTTGCAGCCTTGTAAACAGTAGCTCTGAGCAGTTGGTGGCTCGTAGTCTGGACTCCACCCTCACCCCCCATACACCCATTGTATAAACTTGGTGGTGTGGTCGGGGGGTGTCTTAATGATGCCTGCTTAATGTTGCGTGGCAAATAAAGCTCTCGTCTTTCCTTCACCGTCGTTTAATTTAACTGGGGTTTATTAAGAGAACGTGTTGCTCACTGAAATACCTTGTCACTCAAGGTATGTGGTGTTTTTTTAAAGTTTAAGATCATCCCACTTTTCTTTAGTGATCAAATCAGTCATCGATATGTTAGAAAAACAATAAAAATTCATGCAGCAACATATCCACCGTTGGATGAAGGCCTTCCCAAGCCATCGCCATCCCGCATGATCCCGCCATGTGACAATCCCGCGATGTGACAATCCCATCCGGCCCCTACGCGCGGTAGCGTGTTTGTCACGCGTTGCAGAGGTTCGCGGTTCGAATCCAGGCGGCTGGCCTGATTTTAATCCTGCGGGGTGTAACAACTGTAATAATAATCCTTCACCATGGCCTTTAAAGATTCCGTGACGTCATTCGCAAGAGTCGGCCGTTGCGTGCCGGCAAAATTTGGCAAATTCGAAAATCGACTAAACCAAAGTCTATACACAGTTTTTCAGATTTTGTTATCTTTGCCTCATCAATGTCCATACGCCACTTGGGTACTATACACGCGTTGAGAATAAATCTTAAGTAAATATCTGTCGTAGGGACACAACAGCAGAATGTGTCGGTATAACGCGAGTTAGTTTTGACAACCGTTTTACAGTCACTACAATCGGCTAAAAAAAAAAATCCGATTCTTAAATAATTTGAGCTGCGCCTCGCCTCTCCCGTTCCATTCCGAACGTCTCCGCACTTCAGTTTCTCCGCCACTACCGCCGCCACTCGGGGGAAGACCCCGGGGGGCCGATGACACAGTAAAGCTAAGCAGGCCCTTGTCCCGCCCTCGCAGACGCAGACACGCCGGCACGGCGCAGACGCACGCAGACGCACGCAGACGCACGCAGACGCACGCGCGGGAGAGATAGCGGCTCTCCCCGAGAGCCCGAGCGAGCGGGCATGAAAGAGCAACGGTGACTGACACAAAGGCACCCGCGCACGCTCTCCGAGATGGAGACGGCTGATAGGACCCACGCAGATCACAGGCAACGGCTGCGGCGCTGGCGCGTGCGGGGCCGGCTTCACCCAGCGTCGTCTCGCCTTGCTGCGATCTGGATTGCGATCGCCCCCCGGCCACAGCCGCCGATGTCTGTCGATTCGGAGCCGTTGTCTCCCTCGCTCGTGCACTCGGGGGTTGGTGGTCTTGATAAGGCGGCTTAAAATGGCCCCTGCCATAGGAATATGGACAATCTGCCGGCCGCTGGCTCGGCTTGCCGGCGGAGGGACGAGTTGGTGCGTTGTACGCTTCTTACATTTGTACTCTTGAAACGCAGCGGAATATGCATCCCCCCACCTCTCCGTACACCGACGTTGAACGTCCCAAGGTGCTGTAAATACATTGGGTGTAATTTACCACGATAAAATCCTTGCTTGTAAAACTTGCCCCTTTTTTTGGGGGGGGGGGGGCGGGGAGGGTTCATGTGGGTCGAAACACGTGTAGGCAGGAAGGCAGGCTCCCCCCTGCCCCTCCCATTCCTGGAAAGATGATCCCCTTCCTGGTGTTTACACATAGCTGCTGTTTCCGCCGTTGTTTTATTTTATTTTATTCTTCTATTTGTTTTATTTTCCCCCCTTTTTTTTTAACACGTTTCCCTCGCACAAGATTTACAGCCGAGAGATTGAAAGGGGTTGCGGGGTGGGCAAGGGGCAGGCGCAGAGAGGGAGTTGCGAGGGTCCCGAGGTCACTCGCCAGGCTAAGAGGGGTCACGGCAGGATGGTTTCTGTTGTAGGAAAATTCGTCGGCGCGTTAAGTGCGGGGCTGATTGACAGGGAGCAGTCGTTTTTGTGGATTGCCGTCGGATTTCGCAAAAAAAAAACATTTAACATTTCGCAAATATAATCTCGGCAAAGACGCTTGTGTAATGAAAACTGCCTATTCAGGTCGGACATAGACCGGAGTACAGATTTCAGATCGTGAATTAAATTTCCCACGTGTACAAATACATAAACTTTACGATGACGATGGTGGCGGTGGTTGTGCTGTGGCTGCTGATAATAATGATGATAATGGTGGTGGTGCAGTTGGTGGCAATAACAATGAATACAATGATGATGGCGATGACGGCAGTGGTTGTGTCGTACCGTGGATGATGAGAATGATTGAGTTAGTGGTAGTGATTTGGATGAATATGGCGATGATGGCAGCATATGGGTGTTGGTGCACCTTGTGAAATTTTTAAGAATATAACGATGTTTTTTTTATGTTTTCGCAGTCCCTGTCCAGAGCAAGGCATGGGGGATGAGTTCAACTTGATGGATCACTCAGACCTCTACATCCTCGACTTTGGTACGTCGTGAATCTCCGTGCAAAGCATTGGTGCATGATCTCGATAGTTCCTAACATGGCGCTTCGTACGTACGAGAATCGTCCATCGATAATAAACATTCTCGGGGAAATAAATGATGATGATGATGATGATAATAATTGCAACTTGTAACGCGCCCGTGCAGCATCTGCTCGCGCTCGCACAGAGAGAGAGGGAGAGAGAGAAAACGACTCGGAGGCGCGAAGATTCAGAGGAGCGGGGAAGGCAGCAGCCAGGCATCGAGCCAGTGCCAAATTCTCCCACCCTCAAGCTCTCATCATCATCATCATCACCATGTCCCTCGGGGCATAGCAGTCCCCACGAGCCGCCACCAGGCAATCCTGTCCTGCCCTAGCCGCCACGCTGAATGCACGCCAAGGCCGCGGTGTCGAAGATCGTCCCTGGGTGGGGCGTGTCCACGTCAGGCCGTGGTCTGCCCCGGGGGGGGCGGCGCCCCTCCGGTGCCGCGGTGGGCCCGTCGACGGATCGCGCGCAGAGCTCTGGTGCGATCCGTCGATGCGTCCGCCCGGGCGACGTGTCCGCAGGGCGGCTTAAAGTCTTGTGGCTCTGATCGTTTCATGCACTTGTCGGGCATCCCGTGCGAAGGGCGGACCTCGACATTGGTGATGTGTACACTGAAGCTCTGCCATCATCTCTCTGTACGTGAAAAGGTGTTGTCGACCACTTAGTTGGTGTGGGGGAGCTTTGCCGAGCCTCAACGTTTTCGTGTCAAGGGGGTCCTGCATTGGGACGGTTGGCCAATTTCCGTTAACGAGTGGTTTGGTGTGTGGGAGGAAACGATCGAGGGGAAAGTGTATTTATAAAAGGGGCCCGATTGTACACGTGCGACGTATATCCTCTTAGGGCGAAGATTCAACAAACCTGCTCATTATACAGCTGCGAAGTGAACTGTTATCGGTGCGCCAAATACACTTTCACTCCCCGTTTCCGCTGACGTTTGAGATGGCCTCGGAAGCCGCCGTGAGAGTAAAAACGTGCGTTCGCTTCGACCGCGCGTGATCTGGCCGCTGCGTCTTAAGCGTTGGCAAGACTTGAGTGTGCTTACTTATTCGGAAACGTTCACCAGAAACAATGGGACATCCGTACCGTACCGTTGGATGCGGCGGTGTGCTGGAAACTGCAAAAATAAGCACCGTCCGTATATTGTATAGAGCAGGTGTCGGCAACCTGTGGCTCCGAAGTCGCATGCATCTCATTAAGGACTCCTTTGTGACGGCATTTATTAAGAGTCACCGTCTCGTATTCACCACGTCCATTGCGGTTCTTGAAATATTGGGGTTTTTACCGAAGTCGAAAACACCATGGCTCTTGTTGTTGTGGTTACCGACCCCTGGTATAGAGCATGAAGTTGAAGGTAAAGGCGCATCCCTGCAATGGCCTGCTCATGCCCCTGCTAGCGAAAAGGGGTCTTCATCTATAGAGAGCTCCCTGGAGGGTGTTTGGCCTACTCACTGAAATAGGAGCTACCCACACTTTACCCCATGGCACGCGATCTGTCGATTGACTAACTGCGGTGGTATGTAGTACGATGTTTATTCATCGTATCCTATCACACGACGTACCGTATGCCGTCATTTAAGCCCACTTCGTTGAGTCATTTTAGGCTAGATAGCTTCTAAAAAAGAAGCTTAATAGCTCGGTGGGCTTTACCTGGCAAGATAAAAAAATAGTTTTTTTTAGTTGGATATTATTTTTTAAGTGATCTGTTTACCTTTGCTATATATGCCACTCCTATTGTGTTGTATTGTTGTTGTAACGTTCTGACCCCATGCCCCTACTGGACATCGTTGAAAAAGAGCTTTATAGCTCATCGGATTCCCTCCAGTATAAATAAATATTCTAATTTTGGTAAATGTCATCACTCAACCCAGGAAGGACAAATGAATATCCACTATCACTTTGCCTGGTTTTTATTATGAAAAGATAATCTGCTCATCATTTGCACAAACCGAGGGGTAAACAACTAAATACAGACAAATTATCAAAACCTAATTGCCCACAAAGGTCTGCCGCATTGGTATTGCTTGAAGAGAGCGTTACAATACAAATCCCAAGAGGAGTCGGGTTAGTGGCTGAGCATTCGCCAAGGCAAATCAAGACGAGAGGGTGCCACGGTGGTGAGATGTTAACTACCAACCCCTGGTCGTGGGTTCGACCCTGACCTGTATATTCTTTAGTTATTTCGGTAAAGTCACGTAGATAGAACATAATAAATATATTTTGGTATTATTATGGTCGACAAAACTTCGATGAGTTTTTTTTCATTTAAAATTTTTATTTTATTTTTTTCTATCTAAGTGACTTTACCGAAAGAACCAAAGAATATGAATTCCTGCAGTCACGAAAGTTTTAAGTCAAAATCTGACCTGTATACTTGGAGTTTGATTGTTCTCTCTCGTCGTGGTCATGTGGATTTTCCTCCGGTGTTTCCCTGTCCATTTAGAAACGTGCGTTTATATTATTTGGCTGCGATAAATTTCCACGTGATAAGCCACTTTGTTGAGCTTTCATTTGTGGCCAGGTAGCTTCTGAAAATAAGCGATATATCTCAGTGGGCTTTACCTGGTAAAATAAAAATAAAAAGTTTGGTTTATAGTTTTAGTTTAAAAATAAGTAGTCTTATCTCCTATCGTTTAGTTTATTATTTTAAATCACAACTACGTTACAACTGAAAATTGCGTTCAAGAAACATACGATTTTAACTGTTGTGTGTAGGTGTGTAGACTACTGCCCTCTCTTGTCGATCATAACCGTTGTTTTTGTACGTTTTATCTTTCAGCACCAAGTTTGAAAACCCTTTGCACACTGGCGGTCGTGCAGTATAAGTTGGATCTGTCCAGCCTCCCTCATGACATCCGGTAAACTATTGCAGGAACATTTTTTTATCGTCTTAAATATTAAAATTTTCGCAGTAGGCGGCGACGTTGCAATGTCTAATCTCAATTTTCACGTGCGTCTTAAGGCAGAATTTCATTTATTTTCCCTCTATTGATGGCAAAAGCTCAATGCAGCGTTGTTCACCGTTAGCACTCTGTCGGTATCTCCGAGTCTCCTTAACCCTTTCCCCGTTGCGAGACACCTGCGAGTTGCAGGGCGAGGGGTCCCCTTCGCCGAATCTCGGAACGCGCTAGCGGCTCTGCATTACACTTTACTCGGAGAGGTGTAGGAGCAGCGCCGTTGTTTTTAAAAACGTTGTTACTCACCGCAGAGAACCGTAGCGACGCGACCGCCGCCACTCTACGGAAGCTGGGGGGGGGGGGGGGGGGGCATTTCAGATGTTCGTCGTGCGGCGACTCTCGCAAGTCGTCCACTGACTGAACTCGCTCGCCAACATCGACGTGAACATACAAACGTCGCTGTACAACTCCCCACCTTCATATTAACTAATAATTATAATCCCCGTTATCGTCATCAGAGTTAGTGTACAGGTGCAATTACGCATCGTTGGATTTGCACAGCTTGCGTATATTTCAACGTTCGTTATCTCGGCTGTAATCTGACGCCCCCCACCCACCCACCCCGCCCGCCCGCGCCAAAATTCTCTGCCGGAGAGAGAAAAGCAGCGAGAGGCGCGTGGCTCCGAGATGCCGTTACGCATCTCCTCCACGCCTCCCCTCCTTCGCTCCGTTACGTTGTCACCACCCCGGGTGTTGTCTCAGCTGCAGGTTCGCCAAGTGAAATGTGCCTCCCCCCTTTCTCAGAGGTCTATTAACTCCGCGCTCGTCTAAAAAACAATAAGCTCCGATGATCGGATTTTGTTTTCTGATGGAGGTGCGTTTGTGTCAACAGGCGATTCTCTCCTCCTCCTCCTCCACGCCCCCCCCCCCGAATCTCGCTGCTCCTTTCCCTTTTGTTTTTCCTTCCACCCCCTCCTTAATGCCATAAGACGGAGAGATCAGACGCGGACAACTCGCATCCGTTTTGTTTTACTCACTTGTATATCTGTTGAGGCTTTTGCCGAGGCGTGATGGTGTTGTTTGTTTATTGCCCATTGCCGTCTGTTGCCACGTGCGGCTCAACCCCCGTCGACTTTAAAGTATTTGCCGCGAGATGCGTTGCGCCTGATCTGGAGAGGCGGCGGTGGTGGCGGCTTGGGGAGGCCCTCATCCAGCAGTTGATTGACCATGGTTGTCTATGTATGTTGACATTTTTTTCACACCGTACGTAGCCAATCGTGCTAATCGGAGGTGCGAGGAAGTTGGACGTGCGTGGGAATCCGAGGTGCGGGGGTGATGATGATGATGATGATGTGTCACATGGTGGTGGAGCAGTGGCACGGTGGGGGTTAAAACTTTGCTATGAACCAGCTGAGCCGAGTTCGATTCCCTGCCACGGTTTGCATCGGTGGCGAGTGATATCTGAATCGGTCACAGGCTGCTCCCCTCTTTGCTAACCCACTATCATTCTTCGCTTTCTTATCCAAGTGTGGTACGTGACGACATACCCTCCGGGTAAATTTTAAACCTGTTTCTCATTTACGAAGTGTTGGGCAATCTGCAACATCCAGCCAAGTAACCCGTGTGTATAAGATAGGAACTGCGTAGCAGAAGATCTACTTCTTTTGAAACTGAAACTATAAACACTTTTTTTTTGTGTTTGACCAGGTAAGGCCCCACTGAGTTAATAGCTCTTCTTCAGAAGCGATCTGGGCGTCCCAAATGATAGCTCAACGAAGTGGCTTATGTGGGAATTTATAGCAGCCAAATACTCTTAAACCCATGTCGATTCTAAATGTGCAGGGAAAACCAGCGGACCCGGAGAAAAATCCAGACTACCACTCGGGAGAAAAACATGCAAACTCCAAATATACAGGCGTCATGGGTCTGCATCGAACCCACGATCTCCTTTATATCAGGCGAGGTAGCTAACAACCTGCCACCACAGCCGACCCTCTTATCCAAGTGGCGCATGACGACACTCCCTCGATAACTTTAAAACCTCTTTCTCATTTACATAGTGTTGGGCAATCTGCGACATACAGCCAAGGTACCCCTGTCTATAAGATAAGAACTGCAAAGGAGATAAGATCTACTTGTTTTTAAATAAAAACTATGAACGAAACTATTTTTTATTTGACCAGGTAAGGCCCACTGAGCTATATAGCTCTCTTTCAGAAGCTACCTGGCCACAAAATAATAGCACAACGAAGTGGCTTATCACGTGGAAATGTATAGCGGCTGAATCTTATAAACCCATGTTTCTAAATGTTGAGGGAAAAACCTAAAACCCAAGAAGAACCCACGCTACCACAGAGAGAGAGAGACATGCAAACTCAAAATATACAGCAGGCATCAAGGGTCGGGATCGAAGCTGCGACCTCCTGTATACCAGGCGAGGCAGTTAACATCTCGCCACTGTGTCGCCCGTCTTTCTTCAACGCGCATCGGTCATTTGAGTGGAGCACAAGCACAGCCACTTGACAACCGCTCGGGTGCCCAAATGGCGTTCCTGGAACCCCGGAGCGAACTCGCCGCCACGCCAACTTGGCACCCTCGCCGCCCCGCAGGACAGAACACAGCCCCCCCCAAATTGCCTTGGCCACGTGCGCCAAGGGGGCTTTGGTTTCCAGTGTAGATATTGCAGGCACGCGCCGCCGGCGGGCGCAGCAGCAGCAGTGCCTTTTAGTGCCGCTTCCGAGCATTGTTAAGCGTTTATGGCTCGGTTGAAGGTAACAGGATAGCCCCATTTGAAGTGGCGATGATAAAAAAGAGGGCACACGCAGACACGCGCACATACAAAGCTCCCACCCCCCACATAGCCTGACACAGATTGTTGAGACAAGTGCTGTTAGCGAGTGCTTCTGAAGGCCGTCACGGTGCACGAGTGGGTGGTATGGCCAGCACGAAACACGCCTGGCAGCCTTTGTCTCTCCAGCATTGATGCTTACAAAGCCCACTGGCTACTTATTTAAGGCGTAATTGACCTAGGCGAGACCCGGGACTGAGTTCAGATATTGCGCCGCTGATGTCAGCTTTGGCTGGGAATGAAACTTGGGCTGCCTGGTTCATAGTGTAGTGGGCTAATCACTATGCTACTGCTCAAGACAAAGATCCCCCCGTATAGCCTTTACCAGGCTGTTGGGGCGAGTGCTGTTTGTGAGTAGCACCTTTGAAGGCCGACATGGGACACATGCATGTTGAACTTCTCTCGCACCGTACGTAGCCAACCGTGCTAATCGGAGGTGCGTGGGAAGGACAACAAACTTAACACAAAAATCAGTTCTAAAAAAAATGTGTTTTCAACCTAGATTTAAAAGTGCATAGCTCCAGTGTCTTCCAAATATCGCAGAAGCGCATCTAAACTACCCGCAATAGGCGGTGGTGTGGCCCGTACCACGCTCGCCTGCCTGTGCCTCTCCCAGCCCTTCCCTTTACTGAATGAAACCAGGCGAGATTCAGGACCGCTTCGGAAAATCCGTGCGCCGTACCTGGTAAAATAAAATAGCTTGGTTTCGTTTTAATCACCACTGAATGTTAGCCGTGGCCAGGAATCAAACTTGAGCAGCCAGATTTGCAGTGCAGTGCGCTGCTAACCACTACGCTACCACCCCACAGCCCCTCCCCCCGCCTCGCACACACGCAAATACATTGCAGCGCATGGGCACGCACCGTGCACCATTCCCCAGAAAGGCAGAGGAGAACCCTTCGATGAAATTGATGAATGGAGAAGCGGAAAAAAAGGTCTCGTGCGGTGTCGGCGTAGACAAACAACCGCCGCTAATCCCCAAAGCAGCGAAGGAGCAGCGGCGCGCACGCGTCTCTCAGTGTGGGATGTGTCGGGGGTTAAAGGGGGCCACCGGCCCCTGCTAGGATGACAGGGCTCCACTGGAGCCGAGAGGGGGGGGGGGGGGTCCTTATCAGCGGCCAGCATACGGGCCAGATGGTTCTCTCGTTATCAGCCACCAACACCCGACCTCCCTCCCTCGCTCCCTGCCTTCCCCACACCCCTTCTTCACTACTGCCTGCAAGAGCAGCTTAAGTAAACACGGATTCCCCCGTGCTGTGTGGGTGGTTCTTTTTCGTTTTTCCCAGAACGGCTGCCCTCCGTATTGCACGCACGCCTCCTACGGGGGACCGCTACTCTACACCGGCGGCGGTGTTGATGATGTAATCCGCGCGGTAGCCGGCTTAATTGGCGGAGGTGGCGATATGGTTTTTTTTTTAAGAATGACTCTGCAAACGTTTTGTGTGTGTGTGCGTGCATGTGTGTGTCTGCTTGGGGGAGCGGTGTAGTGAAATGGTTAGCGTGCCAGCGCTACGAACCCTCTGACCCTGATTTTGATTCCTGGGCCAAAGCTGATATGAGTTGGTGAGTGATTTTGGAACCCCCATTTCTGACACCGCACAGGGGAGGCCCTTCATCCAGCAGTGGATTGACAAGCTGTGCCCCTGGGGGGGGGGGGGGCAGTAGCATCGTGGTGGTTGGTTTATCGCTGTGCGAACCCTACAACCCGAGTTCGATTCCCAGCCAGGGCCAACGCAATTGGTGAATATTTTAACTGGCCGTGGGCCCTCCCCTAGGTTAACTTGGCCTTAAACATCGACTTAGGTTCGGTGTGTAATCGTCGTCCACGTTGAGACGAATGCAACTGCGTGGTGCTGGCCTGGCCACACCAGTCCCCTCGTGCGAGGTGCCGGCCTTCGCGTAGGGTGCTAGCGAATAGCAACAGTCCAATATGCCCTCACATGGCGGATGTTTATCATTGTCTGTTCTTTTTTTTTACCCATCAGGTGGGAGATTACGGCCATGACGACCAACAGCAACATCAGCCGGCCCATCTTCTCGTCACACGGATGAATTGGAGGCACATATTGAGTCCTCGCTGCTCGGCGATTGTTTGTGGAGGTTTTTATTCTTGGACTGCGACTCGCCTGGCATTTCGCCCCGGACATACCAGATGCTTTCATCATCGGGGTCTGGCCTGGGTCTGGCCTGGGTCTGGCCTGGGTCTGGCCTGGGTCTGGCCTGGGTCTGGCCTGGGTCTGGCCTAGGTCGGGTCGGGTCTGGCCTGGGTCGGGTCTGGCCTGGGTCGGGTCTGGCCTGGGTCGGGTCTGGCCTGGGTCGGGTCTGGCCTGGGTCGGGTCTGGCCTGGGTCGGGTCTGGCCTGGGTCAGGACAGGGTCGGTTCTGGCCTGGGTGTGTCCTCGCTTCTCGACGTGACGTCGCGTGGCCTGGAGAGAAAGAGAGCGAGCGGACTGACCACCAGCAGTTGGATAGACATTTCGTCTCTTCCGAGCTTCGACATCTAACACGGATGATGGAACGCTTTTGCTGTCGGAGCGTGAGAAACAATTCAAAACACACAGGGACTCGTACTCAAAGGGAAATGAATTAAACGTTACACAAATCGGAAATGTCGTATTTTATTTTTCATCGCTAGTCCGATTGCATTATCGTTTCCTCTTAAAATCAGTATTTATAGTGATTTAGTGTTCTTTAAGTACTGGGTAGACTAGCCTGAATTTTAGAAATGACAATTGGAAGATGTCGGGTTTTTTTGTTCCGATGCAAACATTTTTAACCGGGCGAGTTACGAGTGCATTCTCTCACGTCGCGTACAGACCATGCACACGTTATACATATATAAACACAGTGCTCTGACAATCAGGACACACGGAGTTATTATATTTTAACCGATCACAGTGCGTTATGTCCATTAACTTACTGCCATTAACATGAAAGCATGCATGTAATTTTTTGGGGAATTGAGTTTAGACTTGATTCTTTGGTGTACTCTTAGAACATTCATCAATTTATGTTTTTGTCAATTTCCCTGCCATTTTTGAATGTCGCCTGAAAAGGAAAACGGAAAAATGGATTTTAATATTTTAAAAAGCCATTGTTAAAATTCCTAAAATAACCCTACGCGTCCTGACTTTTGGGCCACTGGACACATGCATACACGTACAACACACACATCTCTTGCATGTGTGCGTGCGTGCATACACTTGCAACACAGGGATCTCGTGCGTGTGTGTACGCACGCACAACACAGGATTCTCGTGCGCGCGTACATGTACAACACAGGAATCTCGTGCGTGTGTGTATGCTCGTACGCTCGTCCACTTGAACTCGCGTTGCTCTCCTCTATTATTTTTTTAAGCCAAATGTCGAGAATTGCACGACGCTGTCACTTTCAGTTTTTGAACAACAGAATGAAGCAAAGCCAAATGACATATTCTTGTGCGGTGAAGTTGTTTACAGCTTGGTGCTCCAGTTATTAAAAAAAACCTCCAGGTCTCGTATGCGTGTTATGTAGCGCCATGGGGTTTGCCCGTAATCAAGAGTTATTTTAATGCGTGTGCCGTGTTCAGCTTTTGCCTTTTTGAGAACTAGCCAAGAGAGCTAAGCTCGCCGTGTGTGCGTGCGTACGTGCGTGCGTACGTGCGTGCGTACGTATGTGCGCACGCACGTACGTACGCGTGGAGGGATGTGTGCTGCGTGTGCTGTAAATGTGCAGGTTTGAAATGGGAGAATAATGATTAAAGTCTCCACCCGTTGGTTAACTCGTCGCGTTGCGTGTGGGTTTATCTGCTGTCATAGTAATTGGTACGTTTTGTTAGTCGCGGCATTCTTATCGCGAGGGAAGGAACGAAACTAAAAGCGAAACTTTATTTTACCAGGTAAGGCCCCACTGAGCTAAGTAGCTCTTTTTCAGAAGTGACCGATCTGCAAATAATAGCTCAACGAGAAGTGGCTTATCATGAGGAAATGTATATCAGCCAAATGCGCTTAAACGTGATGTTGATTCTAAATGTGAATGGGAAAACCCGGAGGGCCCGGAGAGAAACCCACGCCAGCACGGGGAGAGGGACACCGCAAACTCCAAATATACAGCAGCAGCAGGCGTAAGGGTTGGGATCGAACCCACGACCTCCCGCATACCAGGCGAGGGAGTTAACATCTCCCAGCCACCGTGGCATTTCGGAGAGAACCCTCTGCAATAATCGGCGTGCTACCTCTGCGCCCAACCTCCGATTAGCACGGTTGGCCACGTACGGTGCGAAAGAAGTTCAGCAACGTGACCCGTGTTGCCTGCCATGTGCAAAAGCAGGTTGAGTAAATTGTCAAAACATTTTGTCGTCAAGTTTGCTACATTCGTTGTAGCGCGTCGCCGTCACGCGACATTGGCCCACCCGTGTCGAAGAGCGTCCTGCGGGATCTTTTAGCGCCCGCTCTGAAGCAGGCGGCGCGTGGTACCGACTGGTGAATTGGTACGCCGTAGCAATAAGCCAGGGCAGCCTGCCCGATTCGAATCCACGAGCCTCTGTTGCAAGAAACGGCGGACGTAGCTACCACCTCGCAAACGCCACCGCCACGAGGTGCCAGAGATGGTGTTGTTCACTCCAGTTGAAGTGTTAAATTGACCATGCACCATAATTAATGTGTGCATGTCGAACTTCTTTCGCACCTTACATAGCCAACCGTGCTAATGGGAGGTGCGAAAGGGTTTTAATCGTAGACTAAATAAGTCTGTAGAGTTTTTATTTATTTCATACAGGTGATTGGATTACGTAGTGATCTGTTGCAATCCTGTTAGATTGTAGGAGCATTGCCAATGACCAAAATAACAAATTACGCCGGATCTCGCCAGATCGTGGAAGGCTAAGCAGGCGTGAGCCTGGACAGTGCGTGAATGGTTACCTGCCACGATGTACGCCGGTTGTGGTGAAGGCCACTCTAGGGCTACGTGGTGAGCAGTAGAGGACAGTGCAGATTTTTTTAATATATAATCCCGCACGTCCTCTGCTTTCCTTCACTCAATCCGCACTGACCAGCGTGATGAAGTATGCTCAAATAACCATCCCTCGACCCCCCCCCCCCCTACGCCATGGTGGAGGCCCTCATCCAGCAGTGGGTTGACGAAAGCGCTGTACGCGTGCACGCTTTCTATTCAATGAATGACCGTCCAACTGGTAGCATTTGCAGAGTTTGTTCAAATAATTCTACCTTTTCTTTTGAAGAGTTGTGTTAAGGATAGAGTTTCAGTGTACTGTATATTCTTCTAGATATCAACGGGTTACATCGTAGTGTGGAATTTCCCCAATTGGCTTTAGGATATCTGGCTCGGAGCACGGATACACTGCTTGCTGAAGGTGACAACCTAATTTTGTCTCCAAAAACAGTGGGGTGGGGAACGTCCGGCCCAAGGGCCGTATGAGGCCCGCGAAATCATTTGGGTCTCTGGCCCTGCCAAGGCAACCGCAGGCGGGACTCGAAATTCAATAAATCTAGGAGCAAACCTGGAAAAGCAGTTGCGAGTAGCAGCAACATCGTCAATACCGGCTAACATCACACACGCCTCGCCAAAGAGAAGCAGTTCCAGCCATCACATTAGGGGTGAGTTAATTAAACGTTTGACCAAATATAACGGGCTAATTTTTAAGTTGATTATTGTGTATGGCCCGCTAATGATGTTACAAATATCCAAATGGCCCTTGGCAGAAAAAAAGGTTCCCCACCCCTGCTTAAAAGCTCAACACACGTCATTAGGGCAACATTTCGGGCAATGACCCTTCATAGCACAACTGAGAGCACTCCATGTGATGAAGGGCCATTGCTCGAAACGTCTATTTATTTCCCCCTTTTATGCCCACGCACCGTGGTATTGGCTGTGCTTGTTGCACCATTACCAACGCAGCATCAACAGCACAACAAATTTCCCGAACCTACATGATGGCCCAAAAGTTAGGACACACATGGATTATTATTTATTTTAACATCACAAATGGTCAAACTGACGTGTTGACATTCATGTGTGCGGCCGTGCATTAATTATTTTGAAAGTAAATCAGGACGTTTTTGTTTAAAGGTTACAGGTGTAATCTTTGAAAAATCCATCAATTATATTTAGTCTCAAAACATAATTGGCAAACGAGGTGGTGGGTGGCCAGCACCACAGCCGCCCGCCTTTGTCTCCCCAGTGGCGATGTTTTGCACACCGCACCAGGCACTCAATTGAGGCTGAGTCGACCTATGGGAGCCCCAGCGCCGGTTCAGATCAATCGTCACTGCTGTGATGTTGGCCGTGAGCGGGAATCGAACTCGGGGCACCCGATTCGTGTCCTCGGCGCGCTAATCGCTGCAACCCCCCCGCCTTAACCTCCCTCCCCCCGCCACCCCTTAAACTCCCTCCCTCGCCTCCCCCAAACCCCTTTAGACCCCCACCCCGTCGCACGCCGATGCTAAAAATAGCCCCCGTGGCTAAAAATAGCATTGCGTGACGTCAGGGGCAGTGTGGAGGTGCGCGCGCGTGGGAGGGGAGTGACGTGTGGACGGATGAGGGGGCGACCTCGTGACCCGAACCCACAACACGTTCGAGCAGAAAGGGCCATTACCCGAAACGTTAGCTTAGAACAACAACAATACAATGCTGATGGCCGTTGTTTTGCCCGGGAAAGCCTCGTTTGAGCGTCGAGGCTCGCCCATCACAAGGGCCCGGCGACTTTGATGATGGTTTTTGGGAGAATTTTCTATTATTCTTTAATCCTTACATTATATCGCTTGTTTCCCGGATAAGGCTTTACCGAGTCTCATGATTCGCGTGTTGTTCCCTTGGAGGGTCCTGCCACTTGTTCGCAGCAGTAGGGGGGGGGGGGTGCGGGGGACGATAATAGCCGCTGAGTGTGTGTAATCCTTATTGAGTAATTTGCGTGTGTAATCCTTATTGAGTAATTCGCGGAATAACTTCAAGTTTGGTAAATTTTGGATAATTGACCGCCGACACACAATGGCCTACTCTTGCGCGAAAGACGCCACTGGATCTTTAACGTCCATCGCGAAGCAGGCGGCGCGTCGGGGTGTGCTTACCGTGAATACGCAACGCAGTGTTAATTAGGGCGGACGCTCGGTTCGAACCGCGAACCTCTCGCATCGCTAGGCCACGTCACCGCGAGTCGATGGGTCTCTGTGTGAGTCTGTGGATATCTGTGAACCTACGGGTCTCTGTGTGGTGAGTCTATGGGGTATGTGTGGTGAGTCTATTGGTATCTGTGTCGTGAGTCTATGGGTCTTTGTGTGAGTCTATGGGTCTCTATGGGGTGAGTTTGTGGGTCTCTGTGCGGTGAGTCTACGAGCATCTGTCTGATGAGTCTATGGGTCTCTTTTTGGTGATTCTTTGGTCTCTGTGTGAATCTCTGGGTCTGTGTGAGTATGGGTATTTGTGTGGTGAGTCTATGGTTCACTGGTGAGTCTATGGGACTCTGTGTGAGTCTATGGGTCTCTGTATGAGTCTTTGGGTCTCTGTGTGATGCGTCTGTGGGTTTCTGTGTGATGAGTCTGTGGGTCTCTGTGTGGTGAGTATATGGGTATCTGTGTGATGAGTCTCTGTGTGATGAGTCTGGGCCTCTGTGTGGTAAGTCTATGGGTCTCTTGTGTGGTGAGTTTGTGGGTCTCTGTGCGGTGAGTCTACGAGTCTGTCTGATGAGTCTATGGGTCTCTTTTGGTGATTCTTTGGTCTCTATGTGAGTCTCTGGGTCTGTGTGAGTATGGGTATTTGTGTGGTGAGTCTATGGTTCACTGGTGAGTCTATGGGTCTCTGTGTGATGAGTCTGGGCCTCTGTGTGGTGAGTCTATGGGTCTCTGTGTGGTGAGTCTTTGGGTCTCAGTGTGTGAGTCTATGGGTCTCTGTGTGAGTCTATGGATATCTGTGAACCTACGGGTCTCTGTGTGGTGACTCTGGGGTATGTGTATTGAGTCTATTGGTCTCTGTGTCATGAGTCTATGGGTCTTTGTGTGAGTCTGTGGGTCTCTGTGCGGTGAGTCTACGAGTCTTTGTCTGATGAGTCTATGGGTCTCTTTTTGGTGATTCTTTGGTCTCTGTGTGAGTCTCTGGGTCTGTGTGAGTATGGGTATTTGTGTGGTTAGTCTATGGTTCACTGGAGAGTCTATGGGTCTCTGTGTGAGTCTATGGGTCTCTGTATGAGTCTATGGGTTTCTGTGTGATGAGTATGTGGGTTTCTGTGTGGTGAGTCTATGGGTATCTGTGTCATGAGTCTGGGTCTCTGTGTGATAAGTCTGGGCCTCTGTGTGGTGAGTTTATGGGTCTCTGTGTGGTGAGTTTGTGGGTCTCTGTGCGGTGAGTCTACGAGTCTCTGTCTGATGAGTCTATGGGTCTCTTTTTGGTGATTCTTTGATCTCTGTGTGAGTCTCTGGGCCTGTGTGAGTATGGGTATTTGTGTGGTGAGTCTATGGTTCACTGGTGAGACTATGGGTCTCTGTGTGAATCTATGGGTCTCTGTGTGATAAGTCTATGGGTTTCTGTGTGATGAGTCTGTGGGTCTCTGTGTGGTGAGTCTATGGGTATCTGTGTGATGAGTCTATGGGTCTCTGTGTGTGAGTCTATAGGTCTCTGTGTGGTGAGTCTATGGGTCTCTGTGTTAGTCTATGGGTCTCTTGTGTGGTGAGTCTATGGGTCTCTGTGTGTGAGTATGGGTCCCCCTGTGGTAACGACTTTAAATAAACCCGAAAACATGTGTATGGTTAATCCAATATACAAATAGAAATG